AGTTCCTTCCAGAGTGGGTTAGTGACTGTGAGAGCGGGTCGTGATAAAGGGAGCCTGGCTTTCTCCGGCTTCCTGTCTCACTGGGTGACCTCTCCCCAAACCGCTGCCTTTTCTCCTCTTCTCCACCATGCCTGGAGCAGCACCGGCCCTCCCCAGAAGCAGAGCAGATGCCGGCGCCATGCTGTTGGACCTCTAGAACCATAAGTCAAAATCAACCGCTATTCCTGATAAACGACCCAGTCCCGGGTGTTTGGTGATAGCAGTAGAAGATGGGCTAAGGCACTCCCTTGGCTCCCCACAGTGGCCTGCACGTCCCAGTATCAGGCTTTAGGGTTGGGGGAACCTGGAGCAGGATGTGGTTTCCAGGTTGGAGAAGGGTGGGGGAGATTGGAGCCTCTTTCCCAAGACTCACCAGGGGTCAGACACGTGGATGGTGGACTTCCTGACACCTCTTACGAGACAGGAAAAGTCTCGATGTTCCTTTGTGGACCCTGCACTGATAATGTGGACAACAAGGACTGGCATGTAGCCCCAGGTCACAGACCCCACTGGACAGGGTAAGTTAGTGTCTTCAGACAGAGGGGTTTTTTTGTGGGAGGGATTTATTGGGGAGTGGTCTCTGGAGATATGCCTGTAAGAAAGGGAGGACAGGTAGGGCCATTCACAGCACCCCCAGAGCAGCTAGGGGATGATCACCCTGCCCAGGAAAGGGGGTCTGGGAGGACACCAGAGTCACACAGTGCACCATTAGTGGGTCAACAGTGGGACTGTCTCCAGAGCTCCCCAAGCCTGCTCCATCCTGGGTGTGCAGTGCTGGAGCAGCAGCAAATACCACAGCAGTCACAAAACACCAGACGCGCCTCTAAAAAGCTCTGGCGAATCCAGAAGAGCAGAACTCGACCGCAGGCAGCTCAGGTCTTGGAAGTCAGCAGCAGGCGAGTGACTGAGGGGGTGACCGGAGCAAAGCTCCCAGCAAGGACTGGCTTCTTTCCACTGGACCTCCAGGCTCCACAGCCTGGACTCTGCTGCCCAGAGATGCACACAGGCACCAGGAAGCAGCAGCCCGTGTGTGCCCTGGGCTCCCTGGGGACTTCCGCCCAGCAGCTTCCTCCCAACCACCACGGTCCAGGGGCAGCCCCTCATCCAAATCGGGTTTGGTCATTTTCCTCCTGGGCTTTCTGCCTATCCAAACACAATCTCAGCAGGACCCTCAGCCTCCTTCCATGGGAAGAATGTGGCCTTCTTCACTAGGGCTCAGAAAATGCAAATAAATCACTCACTTTATTTGCACAGGTCAAAGACTGACCCTGGCGTTGGCAGGCCTGATGTCCAGCTGCCTCTTCAGGAGCCCTGGGAGAGGTGTGTGTGTGTGTGTGTGTGTGTGTGTGTGTGTGTGTGTGTGAGTGAAGGGGTTCCAGGTGCCAGAGAGACTGAGATAAGAGGAAAGCATCATAGACTTCAAACACATCTGTGGCCAAGGTCAGTGTGGGCACAGCTCTTTGTCCAACAGGCAAACACATTATGCAGCCATGTACTCTTTGGTCATCCAATGAACAGTGTTTATGTTCACAGAATGAGAGAAGAAGTTGTTTGAGAACCAGAAACAGCTACTACAAGAGGTGCCGCCCTGGGAACTGGAACAATATTGAAATGCTCCTGCTAGGTTCAGGGAATTAAAAGGACAAAGGTTCTCTTTGATCAGAATGTAATCATTTTAAAGAAGCTGGCCCACAGAATTCTCTTCATTCTCTGTAATGATCTAGAGTAGATTTCTTTCTGGTATCATCATCACACCCCTTGACTTCTTCTCATTTCCTGCACTGTGGATGGAGGCCTCAGGGACCTAGAAATCCGAAGGAATCTCAGTCTCACCCTGCCTGTCCACATGACACCCTCTTCATGAAGCCCTGCCGTCCACTTGCAGAGGGTCAGTGTAAGAGAAGCCATCATTGAAACTGGCAGGAGAAGGGGTGGGAGAGGGGATGCTGCCCTGATTCACCATGATCGCCCCCTTTCCTCTGCTGAGGGGGAACCACAGGATTTCTCTCCAACTCCATCTGCAATAGTTGTGCTATGCATGGTTTTACTCTGGTAAAATACCACATGAGTGCACACAGCAACACTATACACAACAGCCCAAAGAAACAACCCAGATGTCCACCAACTGATGACTGATGACTACTTGAATGAGTTGTGGTATATCCAAGCAATGGAATATTACTGAGTCATAAAAAGATGTCCTGGTGCATTCTATAACACAGAAAAACCTTGAAGACATTATGTGAAATGAAATAAGAAAATCATAGAAGACTACATACTGTGTGGTCCCATTTATACAGACAGAAAGCAGATTGATGGCTCAAGAGACAGGGAAAATGGGGATGGAGTCTTGGTGGGCATTTTTTTTTAAGATTAGTAAATAATTTTTTACTTATATGAAAAATGTTCAGCATTGCCATGAAGTTCTTTAGAAGATGGAATATAGTTTTTGACTTTCTATATCAGAAAATATGAAAGCATTGTCAAAAATTTCCCAAATCAACATCTTATTTTCATCAAAACCAATCACACAGGATTCGCCTTCTTATAGCATTTTTGAAAACTTAAGATGAGAAAATTATTGTTTCTGCTATTCAGTATTTTAAATATTCAAACTTTTCCCTTTAGTGCATGAGTCCATCATTTTTCAGGTTTCATTTTGATCATTATGGTCTCAACAAAGGAACCTCTTTCATTGCCATCAAAAGAAAAAAAAATTCTACACCAGAAAATCAAAAAAGATCATGAATAATTATTCATAGAAGCTAAGTCTGCAAGAGCAACTCACTTTAATTTTTACTGTGTCTGCAAAATTCCTCCTGCGACTCTGCTATTACAGGTTTGTGCTTTCAAACAGAAGACACAGAAATCTTCTGACTTTCAAATGGAAAATGATAGAGAAGAGCCGCTTATAAAAAATCAAAATCTCAAATCAAGTGCCTTGTTCCAAAATGCATCTCATTTTATTCTTTATCTCTGTATCTTGTCCATAATTTAAGACTAAGATGAACCTTTAGGGAATTCTAAGCCATTTTGATTTGGGGTCATTTGTCTAGGTTTCCCAGGGTTGGAGTTTTCTTTTTAGGCAGTGAAAATATTGAAGAACTAGATAGAGGTGGTGGTGGTATAACACAATGAGCTGATAAAATTATACTAAATTCTTCCCTTTAAAATTAATTTTATGTGACTTGACTTTCAACTCCTATTTAAAAAAACTTTTTGAAGACCTCTCTCCGCATTTGGGAGTCTGGGTCTCCTCACTCCACACCTTCACCTGATGGTCTGTAGCCCTGAAAAAGATGCCTGCTACGGGGCTGGGGTTGTGGCTCAGCGGTAGAGCGCTCGCCTAGCATGTGCGAGGCCCTGGGTTCATCCTCAGCACCACATAAAAATAAATAAATAAAATAAGAGTATTGTGTCCCACTTCAACTAAAATATAATTTTTTTTTTTTAAAGATGCCTGCTCCACACCTGTGACTGTTCCCAAGGGAGCAACTCTGTGTTTCCTGGTCACTCAGGACTGAGTCAACTCCAGCACATTCTAGCCAGGCGCGGTGGACTCCAACATTTAACGGGTTAGTCAGCTTTTCATTGTTGTGGCCAAAATACCCAACGAGAACAATTTATAGAGGAGGAGGAAAGGTTTATTTGGGGTTTTTGTCATGGTTGGAGGCTCATTGCTCTGGGCTGAGCTGAGGCAGAACATCATGGCAGAAGAGCCCAGAGGAGAAAGGCAGCTCACCCCATGGTAGCCAGGGAGGAGAGGAAGGGGGTGGGGGGAGATCACAGCCAAGGCACCAGGCACACCCCCAGGAAGCTACTTCCTTCAGCCACCCCCCACTTGCCTAGAGTTCCCTCCCAGTTAGTCCATTCAAATTATGAACCCAGCAAATGGATTAATCCACTGGTTACATCACAGTTCTCATAATCATTTCACCTCTGAACATTGCTGCACTAACACGGGAGCTTTCGGGGGACACCTCATATCCAAACCATAACATTCATCTACGTGTTTTTGCAGAGTTGATGCGAGGGCGAAGCGAGACGGGGCCGGGGGGCTTGCTGATGGTAGGTGTATGAGATGGACATGACATTTTATGCTTCAGTCCCACTGGGATCAAAAGAAAATATCCTCTGCACCAGAGCTATAGTGTCCTGCTCACAGGGGGACATCTGAAGGTGCTGCCAGCACCTTCCAGAACCTTCCAGTACCTTCTTAAACTCCTTCTGCTCCTTCATTAATGCTTTGAAATCTGACTCCACTTGCTCCTTTCCCCACGGGCTGTTGGGTGCTCTGGTTATTGGCTTTTACCCTGAGAAGCTCTGCAGTTTTCAACCCTAAGCCGGGAGTCCACAAACACTTTTGGTTCAGAACCAGAATAATTTTAGTCTTTCTAGACTATATTTACAAAAACAGACTGCGATCCACACCCAGCCTGCTGCCTGTTCTTATGCAGCCCTTGAGCTAAAAATGGTTTTTATATTCTTAAATAGCTGATGTTAAAAGTAGGAGAATATGTGCAATGTGAGAATTAAATAAAATTCAGAGTTTGGTGTCTATTGGAACAGAGCCACATTCATTCATTGGATGCTATCTATGGCTTCTTTTGAGCCACAACAGCTAAGATGAGCCGTTGTGGCAATGCCCACAGTATCTGTTGTCTTGCTCTTAAAGAAAAATTTTACCAATCCCTGCTCTAACCAAATAATGTTAGCAAATCAAAGCACTCATGAGCTCCTTTGCTGTCCTGAGTATCAGTACAGATTTTTAAACTGATATCTGTGGATCTTCTGCTTATTCGTATGTAAAATGGGGATAATGTTACTATCTCGTGAAGTTATTGTAAATATACTTATTCAACAAACAACAGGTAGGGCAGTACCTGTCATTGTAAGTGCTCAGTAAATGTGAGCTCTGTTTACACACAGACTTGTTAATGATAGACACAAACTCAAATAAGTACAGATCACAAAAACTTCTCCCCTCCTAATTTATTTTGGGGTGCTGTAAACAATTTGAAATGTCCCTTTGATGGCTTTCTGGCTTCACCAGTCTTGGATGCCATGGAGAATTCTCCTTCATAGAAGGTATAAATGAGACAGGACTGGAGGGGCATTTGGATCCTTCCCTCTTCAGAAAGTGTGGTCTCATTGAGAGGCAGATGGTTTTCAGTAGAAGTGGCTCATGTTCCTCGGGAGGGACGTGTCCAAGCCACTGTTCATCCATATTTCCTGAATGATCTGCTCCCTGCGCTCAATCCTCTCTGCCAGCTCTGCAGCCTCTACGGAGCTGTAGGCTGGGTATGAAGTCCTGCAGAACCCCGCCAGCTCCCCTGGGAACTCCGAGTCAGAGGAGTCCTCCTCCTCTGCTTCCTCCTCGCTGTCCGCCCCAGGTCTGTCGCCTCCTGGCACCAGGCGCTCCCTCCCCAGCTGCAGCTCCTGAAAGTCTTTGGTGCAGGACACTCTGATGACCAAGGCACATAAGGTGAGGGTCAGGCCAATGCAGACACTGGACACAAACAGAAGGGCGGCTCTCTCAGGGTGGGCTGTGGAGGAGAGAAGAAGCGAGGAGTTGGGAGATGTCAGTCTTCACCAGCCCAAATCCCACAGAACCCGACGTCTGCCCGGGCAGGCAGCTAGTGAAGAACACCAACCTTCGACCGCACCTCTGGCACCACCTCGGGGATCCTATCCCTTGGTGGTCAAAAAGAAAAAAATGTTGAGTAACAACGGCCACATGTGTATGTGCATGAGGGGACACATGAAGAGGGACTCAGGAGCTTTCTGAAGCCAGATCCCCCTGAATTTAAACACGGACCTGCCACTCATTAGACGTGTGATTTTGAGGAAGTTGAATAACCTCTCTGGGCCTCAGTTTCCTCACCTGAACAATGGGGCTAACAAGTACTTTCTTATTATAACGTTGTTATGAAGAAATAGGTTCATTCCTAAGAAGTTCCAGAAATACTCACGGGTGTGTAGCAAATGTTCAATAAAGTGTTAGCTATTATTAGTGGTAGACTATGAAGAATTAATTTTTGTCGGAAGTACTAATGACTTCGTAAGTTCATTCAGATAGGACCTTAAGTAATAATATTATAGATGTTAGCCAAGCTTAATTCCTTTCTTTTTAGATAAAACAAAAATAGTAGAAGTTCTAGTAATTTTTCCTGCATCCATACGGACCTTCCATGTAGTAATAGAAATAAAAAATAATACAACTAAGTTCTATATATCTTGGTCTAAACCCTTACGATGCTTAGTCCTTGCATAAGGCCAGTATAGGGAGGACTAATTCACTTATTTTACTATCACCCTCTCTATGGTGTCTACCCCTTGGGGTGTGGGCACTTCCATTCTGGATACAAGTAAACTCCTTCTTATTACGGACCTGGAGTCCGCAGACTTTTCCAGTAAATGATCAGACAGTAAATATTTCAGTTTTCATGGGCCATATGATCTTCATTGCACATATCAACCTCTGTTGTTGTAGTGCAAAAGCAGCCATAGTGTGTAAAGTAGAAGGCACTACTATCCCAATAAAACTTTATTAGTAGATTTGGGCTGTGGGCCACAGTTTGCTGACCTCTGATGCAGATGCTAAAGCTGGGACCCAGAGGGGAAGCTGCTGTCAAAAGCCAATGGCCTCTTCACACTGAAGAGGGGCTCCTTGTGGGGTACACTTTGGTTCCTCCTGCATTTCCTCAGTGCATCTCAATGGAAATCTGGAGACACTGGCACTTGGGATGAAGTCATTGCACAGTAAGAGAAAAGATGCTAGGACCTGAGGCTCTGATCCAGCTGACAAATCTTTTCCCCCTCTTCCGTGCAAATCACAGCCTCATCTTTCCCAACTCCATTCTTGCCTCCTGTATGGTTTGGACATGGTCTAAGTGTGCCCCAAAGCCCATGTGTTGAAATATAATCCCACTGCGAGGCATTTACTTGACTATGATGCTCAGAGGTGGGGCCTTTGAGAAATGATGGAATTAGATAGGTCAGATGGCTAGAGCCCACCTGGAGGGAGTGAGGAGGTGACCACAGGTTAGACATCACTAGGCTTGCTGCCTGAGGATGGGGTTCCATAGTTAGTTCCTCTTCTTCCATTTCTCCTGGCCAGTGGCTCTGGGTTCTACTGCCAAGACAGCTTCACACCATAGACCTAGTGTCTCTTGACTTAGATGCACTTCTGCCATGTGACCACTCTCCTGGGCAAGTCCACATCAAGTCCACTGGGATCCAGTGGCCAAAGATGGAGAGGATGGGTCACTCTTGGCAAGCCCCTGGGAAGGGTCTGACCAGTCAACTGCATGGACTGGTTTGAAGGCTCCTATTCTTGAGGGCTGGTAGTCACACGGAATCTTAGACATGAGCTGGCCGAATCCCTCCTGTTGTGGCTGAGTCACTTGTCCAAAGCCACCTCTAGTTGGGACCCCAGACTCAGGTCACGGTTATCTACAGAGCCCCAGGCTTTGCGCAATAAGCACATCCTCTGTTTTCTAGAATCAATTGGACCACATGAGTCGTCTGGGACCCCTTTTCTATCACATGTTCTGGAAAGTAAAGTCATCCGTCTTCTCATGGTTGAGTAGAATCTTCACACTGTGTTTCGTTGGTATTGTCCTAAATGTCACCTTGGTTCATCACAGGCTAGAGCAAAGGACTCACTTTATCCTCTATAGTGTGCTCTCGGGAGCCTCAGAACAGGGGTTGGTGGCCTTTAAGTCCCCTTTTAACTCTTAGATCCTGGTCTGGGATGAACACAAGCAACAGTTCAAATTGATTTCGGTCCAGATAAGATACACAGGAGCCACCTCCTGGGGACCTACTGCCACCAGAGGACCCAGGCAGCAGCCACGGCCAGGGTCTTCTGAGGGCAAACCAATGTCCTATGGCCTCGCTGACAGCACTTAGGGATGTGTCAGGAACTTTCTGTCATGGAACCAAAGATTGGAGACCGTGGGGACACATCAGAGCCTGTACCTATGTGACAAGATGGCTGATCTCCCCTTGTCCTCCCTGGCAGGGGACCCATGACTACGACTTTGCAATGTGTGATTAAACTTCTTTCCCTGGGTTTGTCTGAGCCCTAGAGTTCCTTTTACAGGAGACAATGATGCCCCCCAGTCAGGGGTCACTGTGAGCCTGTCCCCAGCTCTGGCTCGGCTTCTTTAGGTGGCCCCAGTTACCCCCAGGCACTCTCCAGTCCACAGCAGGGTCTGCGGGGGGGCGGAAGGCACATATTCATCACAGTCCCAGGGCGGCGGGGCAGGGATGGGGAAAGAGGACCACAAAGAGGTCTGCAGGCATCCATGGGGCGGCCACACAGAGCCGGGTGCAAAGAAACACTAACGAGGTTAGTGACTAATTGGCAACAGGAGGGGTCATGTTCTGAGGTGAGATGGGACTTACATAAATAAAGTCCCCTCAAGTACAATCTGCCAGGGGACAGTAGCTCATATGGGGACATCTAGGAAACTACCTTCCTAAGAAAATCTTAATATTTCTCTTTCTCTCCCCCCCTCCCTCCCTCCCTCTCTCTCTCTCTCTCTCTCTCTCACACACACACACACACACACACACACACACTCCTTGCCGTTCTCTAATTTCAAAACCTTCTGTGTTGGGAGAGACACCTCACTGATCACTTAAGTAGGCGTGGGAGAAACTAGTTGCAGGGACCCCTGAATATTTTCATGTCCCTTTTCCTGACCTCTGTGTTCCCCCCACAGGACGTGCCCCTCAGCTGGTTTCTTCTTGTCCCATGTGTACTTGATTGCACTAAGTGTTGAAGCTCCTCATGGCCTGACCTCAAGAAGGTAGGAAACATCCTTTTGGATCCAATTTACCAACTACTTGGCAGATTTGGGCCAGAAGCAGCCCAGGTCATGCTTTTGGTCCCCAGATGCTCCTGCCACTGGGCTCTCCTTCAGGGACCTCTGTACACTCCTCACAGCATACCTCTGTGACCTCAGATGATGAAGGTACGCCTGAGAGTTGGCTGGTCCCCTCTTTCCAGGAGTGACGAGGATGACACCTGCATTGTTTGATAATTGCTGTGGCCACTGCCCGGTTAGGCTGGAATTGCTTTGTCTGACATCTCAGGTGAGAGCTGCCCTGTGGACCCCTGACCAAGCACCTTGTGCTGTCACATGCAAGTGGCTACCTGCAGAGGCACACAGGCAGACCTGGAGGCATTTCTTCCTCTGTGAGCCTCTGTGACTTGAGTCATGAGAATCCTGTGTGACTCCATCTAGCCAGTGTCCAGCCTGAAGCATTTAGAGTCATTTTCCCCTGGACAGCAAATCCAGGCTTGGTCATGGTTCGCGGAGATGAAGGTACCCAAACATCCTAATAAAGCCAAATATCAGCCCATCGAGTCTTCACATTTTAAAAATTTATCTACAAATAGTAAATCCTGGGAGGTAACAATGTCAGGAGAGATCATAATGTCACTTGCTAACTGTGCTCCTCGGTGCCAGCGCTGTCCTAGACACCAGGACATGACAGCAAACAAGATGACAAACTCTGCCCTTAAGGAGCTAAGTGTCTCAAGGGGGGATGAGCACTATAGAAAAAAAGTCTGTGATTTCTGCGAGCAAGATGTGAGACGGCGGAAAGGATTGGAGAGAATTTCGAGAACTTTGATATCTCAAGGTCAGAAAGGCCCTGGGCCTCCAAATGTTAAGGGCACACCTCTTGGCTCAGGGAAGATGGAGCGATGGCTTTGTTGCTGATCCTGGGATCCTGGGGCTGGGGCTGTCCATGGCTCAGCTCCTCTGACCCTCAGCTTCTGAAGTGCAGAGTTGGGGGGCGTCAGAGCCCCATCTCTGGGCTTTGTTGCTATGGACTGAACTTTGTCCTCCCAAGTTCATTTATGAAGCCCCACCTTCAATGTGACGGGTATTTGCAGACGGGGCTTTAGGAGGGAATTAAGGTTAAAAGGAGATGGAAGGGTGGGGCTCTAATCTGGTAAGACTGGTGGTTTTACAAGAGGAAGATCCTCCCGACCGCTGTCATTCTAAGTCCCTCTCCCTCTCTCTGCCACGGGAGGACATAGCAAGACGGCAGCTGTCTACAAGCCAGGAAGAAATCGAATCTGCTGCCACCTTGATCATGGACTTCCATCCTCCAGAACTGTGAAAAGATAAGCATCCGTGGTTGAAGCCCGCGGTCTGTGGCCTCCGGTTATGGCAGCCTGAGCAGACGCAGGCAGTCATTGAGGGGAAACGAGGCCCCAGCAGAGCTCAGGGCACGGCCGCAGCTCAGCCCACGAGTCCTTCTCCTTCTCTTCCCCCCATGTTCTGTTTGAAGGAACCTCGTGATGCCTTTTCTCCAAGGGACTTTGAAAACCTGGGGATATTTCTGACAATGACCATCTTTCTGTGTCTTAACCGTAATAGTTCTCAGAATGGCAAGATGTGGAAACGGAAGGGTGGTTATAAAACAGAAAGAAACCAATAACCACATGACAAACCCACAGAAGGAAGAGTGCTCTGGAGAGACCATGGAGGAAGAGTGACAGGACCAAGCTCTCTCTCTCCTGTACTGAAATGCTTCCTCAAGCCTTATCTCCCTCTGAAGAAGGGTGATCCAAACCCAGTCCAGCTCCGTTGGCCTTGATAGGAAGGACATCATGCATTATATTAATGTGTATTTTACTGAGGGTCTCAGGCTTTGGCCTCTGATATGGTTTGGATAAGTGTCCCTCTAAAGTTCGTATGTAAAAGTTGGGTCCCCAGGGTGGTGCTCTGTGAAAGTGCTGTGGACCTAGCAGAAGGGCCTTAGGCCACTCAGGGCATGCACTTAGAGGTGATTGTGGAACCCTGGTCTCTTCCTCTCTGCTCTAATTCAAGATGTGACTGCTCAGTATGTCAGGTACCCCAGTAATCATGATGTGCCAGAGGCCCTACCAATGGGCCTACTTGGTTTTGGACTTAAGCCTCCAGAACTCTGAGCCAAAGTAAACCTCCCTTTACTTAGTAAGTGTCAGATATTCAGTTATAGCAATGGAAAGCTGACTAATACAACCCCCCTGACCAGGCAGGCAGGCACTGTTGAAACTTGGATCAACATGTCAAATTACTATCTGTCGTAAGCTAAGCAGGGAAGGTGGCAAAGATTGTTGGTGCCTCCCCAAAGAGGATCTTCCAGGCTGGGCGCAATCCTCCTGGCCCTGCTAATTCAGGAGGACTGAGTCTGATTGCTCCATGTGGGGAAGATTAACAAAGGAAACCGTGGCAACCACGAGAAATGACACTCGACTCGGAAAGTGACTCTGTCCTCGTGGGGCATGGCTTGTTTTGTTTACTTAAGAGGTTCCATTCTTTTTTCTTCAAGTTGGGGTGGAATTCAATAATCCCATGCCCTTCCCAAATTTTAGACCTGGGAAATGCATTCCAGCTTTTCAGTGGGGGAAACACCCGAGGAGCCCAGCCCCTAAACAGAGCAATTCTATCTGCGATTCTCTTGCCCGTTGCCTGGTTGCAGCTGTACCTGAATTCAGGTTTCTGGATCTCAGAGCTCGGCAGTTGCCATGTCAAACTAAAAGTCATTTTACCTGCGTGTTTCCATTGAATGGTGCATTTGTTAACAAGGCTTTAGTAAATCTGTTGGCATTCCAGGAGGCTCTGAGTCGATGACCTACCTCTAATGTAAGCAAACGCTGCCAGAGAGTTGCTAACAATAACTCCATCTTTCCACAGAACTTTTGACTCACTTGGGTCCAAGTTTATACCTGTTTTACAAATTAAAAAAAAGTACAAAAGAAGTTCATCAGAGCTGTTCATAGTACCCCTGCCAATTCCTTGTCCTGGACTACCAGAATAATTAAAAGTCACAAAATCAAACAAATGAGCCTCTTGCTATATGATGGACAATGAAGCCATTAAGAGTGCGCAGTAAGCAGTCCTTGAAAATACTGAGCGATAAAAGGGATTAGCAAATCCCTTTTAAAATGTGTCAGTGGCAAATTCAGGTGTGGCTCATCCACTCCACTGCAGAAGAGAACAAATCGATCTTTCCTTCCCAAAGGCAATGGCATTCATTGTGCCTCTGGGAGGCTTAATAGATAACGTCTAGGGTGAACCATGGACCTGCTGCCGGCTCCGTGGACCAGAGATAAGACAAACCTTGGATCCTGGGGGCAGGCACTGTAGGTCTGCTTTTTTGGAGCTCACAGAAGAATGGGGGAGGGTGGCCTGTGTACCTGCTGGCGAAACTGCCTGGATGAGTTAGCCAGCTGGTGCCGGGGCAGTCTGGGGGCTCAGGGGACCCCTGAGAACATCAGACAGGGCAGATGTCTATGAGAAAGATGGCATGGATTTCTCAGGTCCCCTCTGCAGGGGGACCAGGTATTCATGGTATCAGTGGGTCTGAGATGCAGAGCCTGGCAGAAAGCAGGGTCGTGGACTAAAGAACACGGAAGGACATTACCAGTGATTATTTTTAAGCTTTGAACTAGGGGTGATTTCTGTTTCTTGGTGTTTTCCTGTGTTTTTCATACCAAGAAGTTTATATAAAGGCGAATTATAGGGCTGGGGTTGTGGCTCAGTGGCAAAGCACTTGCCTAGCACGCGTGAGGCACTGGGTTCGATCCTCAGCACCACATTAAAATTAATAAATAAAATAAAGGCATTTTAAAAAAGCAAATTATACAGTTAGCCCTCTCTATCTGAGGGGGTCTGCATCTGTGGATTCAACCAACCACTGATCAAAAATATTCCCCCCAAAATTGCCTCTATACTGAACATGTACAGATTTTTTTCCTTGTCACATTTCCCTAAAAAAATATAATATAGCAACTATTTACATAGCACTGACATCTTATTGGGTATTATAATTAACCTCGAGATCTTTTAAAATATGCAGGAGGATGTGAGTAGGTCACACGCAACACTACTCCGTTTTGTATAAGGACATTGAGCTCCTGCTGATTATCTGTGGAGGGTTCTGGAACCAGTTCCCCACAGACACAGAGGGACATGGGTACTTTTATAATAATTAAGGGGAAATACCTAATAAATATAATAAAATAACACACTCACTACCCCAAACCCAGCATCCGAGGTGCTTCCTATTCTCTGCAGTTTCTCTCAGGAACCCCATGGGTCTGAAATCCATTCTAGATTTGAACAAAAATCAAGATTTCCATCCCTCCTTATTGACAGAAATCCAGGGAACACTGAAGAAGGAAGGTGGTGTGTGTGGAGGATGTAGGTCCTACCTGGCCCTGGCCCACCCAAGTTCCCAACAGGATCATCTTCGCTGACCACCAATGGGCTCATTGTATAATCTAATGTACGTCTGAGCAGATCCTTGTTCAAAGTGGCTTTTCTTTTAGGAAGCAAAAGGGGAATAGAGGGGAAGTTTATTCTACTTAATACTTTTATAAAATCAAAACCAAACCAAATGCTGGCTGCCGTCTGCAACCATTGGACTCCAGTACCGGCATTACCAGCGCAAGTAGCTCAAAACACCTCCTGATGTCCCCTGTCACTCTGGGCAATGTGTGCATGGTGGTGGTCAGGGGTTCTCTACCTTTACTTCAAGATCAGGGCCACCAACATTACCATGTTCAGCGTCCTTCTGCTTCAAAGAAGGCTTGAGGTTAACAATGGCTGGATCGATCGCAGTAAGAATGTTCTTGGGAACTAAAAGCCAAAAAGAAATATTTATATACTTGGTATATTTTTAAAATTTATACACTTAATATATGTTTAAGGTAGATAATATTTAAAATCCACTATTCAGATCGGTTCAAGAATCACTGCTTGTCAGATGCACACATGTACACACACCCATTCTCTCTCTCTCTCTCTCATACACACACACACACACACACACACCAATGGTGCCTGAGTAATCACCAAATATCCCAGAAAGGTGAAATTTTAGATCCATTTTTTCATTAATTAAAAAAGTGGAAAATAATAAGACTATGATGTATTCATCCCATGGAATACAATCTAATGATAAAAAGAATTAAGTAGTGATACATGTTTTGAACCTCAAGAACATGCTCAGTGGAAGAGGCCATTCACAAAAGATCATGTATTGTGTGCTTGCATTTATACGAAATATTCAGAAAAAGTAAATCTAGTGATAGAAGTTAGATTAGTTGTTCCCTGCATCCTCAATGAACGTGAAGAGAATTCCAGGACTCCATGCCAAAGTGATTCACTAAGTAGGATGAGAGGATTGCAGAGAGACAAGAGGAAGGCAGCCCCATAGACGCCTCTGGAGGTGGTTAAAGATTCCGCTGAACTGACCATAAGAATAAGTGGTCAGACGTCAGGATCCCCAGGCCCGGCAGCTGGCAGACGACAGCAGAGGCTGAAACAGAGCACAGCATGGATTTCTCAGGTCCCCACTGCAGAGGGACCAGGTATTCATGGGATCAGTGAGTCAGAGATGCAGAGCCTGGCAGAAAGCACAGTCAGAACTAAAGAACACAGAAGAACATTACCAGTAATTATTTTTAGGCCGAGTGCACTGCCTGCCACAGGCCCAGAGAGGGCAGAGGAAACCAAATAGTCTTGCAGCAGAAAATTGCTTCTTTTTATTTGTCCTTTCGCCCAGCTGATATCTGGGATAAGTGCTAACAGGAAATAGAAGTGAAGCCAACACAAACTGCAAGTTCAACTGCGTTGTTCTTTAAAAAGAATACATAAGACATCTTCGGCAGCGAGAAAACTTCATTTCCGTTCTTGGAGAGCTTAACTAAATTCTTCTGGGGATGTCTCAGGATCACCAACCAGAGAACATTCCTAAATTGGGAGCTCTCCAAGAGCGGGAGGCCCTGGCACCGTCGTGCCCACTAGTGAGGTCAAGTTCTGAAGAGACCCAGAGAAGATGCAGGGCACACTACCCATCCTGAGACCGTGGTAGTGTCCGGAGAGCTAAGCTGGGTTGCCAGGGGGATCCTTCCTTCCTTCCTTCCTTCCTTCCTTCCTTCCTTCCTTCCTTCCGTACTGGGGATTGAACTCAGGGGCACTCCACCTCTGAGCCATATCCCCGGCCCTATTTTGTATTTTCTTTAGAGACAGGGTCTCACTGAGTAGCTTAGTGCCTTGATTTTGCTGAGGCTGGCTTTGAACTTGTGATCCTCCTGTCTCAGCTTCCTGAGCCTCTGGGATTACAAGTGTGGGCCACCACGCCCAGAACAAGAAGCTTTCTAATCAAACCACCTCTCACTCCTTTCTGGGTCCTGAGAATTCTGTCCCTGGTTCCATGGCACCAGTAAGTCAGGACATGTCATCTCTCCCTACCAGGAGTGGCACTTCCTTGTCACATTTCTCTCGGCTCATTCTCAAAATGTGGCCTTAGGAGGCCCTTGGTTCTCTGCAAATGCCAGAGACTTTACAGGCATGAAAGATCAAGAATTTTATGGAGGATGCAAATAAAAACTACTCTAAGATCTCATCTCATCCCAGTAAGAATGGCAGCTATTATGAAGACAAACAGCAATAAGTGTTGGTGAGGATGTGAGGGAAAAGGCACACCCATACACTGCTGGTGGGACTGCAAATTGGTGCAGCCAATATGGAAAGCAGTATGGAGATTCTTTGGAAATCTGGGAATGGAACCACCATTTTACCTAGGTGTCCCTCTCCTGGGTCTATACTGAAAGGACTTAAAAACAGCATACTACAGGGACACAGCCACATCAGTGTTTATAGCAGCACAATTCACAATAGCGAAACTGTGGAAGCAACCTAGATGTCCTTCGGTAGATGAATGGATTTAAAAAATTGTGGCATATATACACAATGGAAAATTAGTCAGCAATAAAAGAGAATAAAATCATGGCATTTGCAGGTAAATGGATGGCATTGGAGGAGATAATGCTAAGTGAAGTCAGCCAATCCCAAAAAACCAAATGCCAAATGTTTTCTCTGATATAAGGTGACTGACTCATAGTGGGGTAGGCAGGGGGAGCATGGGAGGAATAGAAGAATTCTAGATAGCGCAGGGGATTAGCAAGGATGGTGGAATGTGATGGACATCATTATCCAAAGTACACGTATGAAGACACGAATTGGGTGTCAACATACTTGATATACAGAGATATGAAAAATTGTGGTATATTTGTGTAATATAAGAATTTGTAATGACAAAAAAAAAAACAAGACAAAGTACATGTATGAAGACACGAATTGGTATGAACATACTTTATATACAAAGATATGAAAAATTGTGCTCTATATGTGTAATAAGAATTGTAATGCATTCCACTGTAGTATATTTAAAAAATAAAATCAATTATGAAAAAAGAATTTTATAGAGGAGCTCAGAGAGGAAGGGTATTCTAGGAAGAGCTCTGCAGGATATCCAGACTCAAGGGATGGCATCGCCTGTGTCTGACACAGGTCATGGCAGGAAACTTGCTCATTTAGTATGAAAAAAAGGCTCTGATACTGAAAGAATAGTTTAAGATATTTAAATAACAGGTGTCAACATACCTGTCAGATTCTTCAAACCAGTTCAGAATAGGAGCAGGCACTGGGGTATGATTTATTATCATCTCTCAAACCTGCTCCTCTCCACTTCAGGTAGTTTCATGAAAACACCAGCAAAGTGCTCTTATGGAGCACCTAATATGGCTGGGCCCTGCTGTGGAAAGGTTGAACGATGCATCTAGCACAATCCTCTAGTAGCCTGGTAAAGATGTGTATTGTTTCCTTTCTAAAGATAGAAAGTGAGGGCTCAAAGAGGCACCATCCCCCAGGAAGGGCAAAGCCTCCACTCCTGGTGTGGTTCACACAACACCCTCACTCTCTCCACCATGCTAGACTGTCCCTGGCACATCCAGCCTTTGGGAATTGGATCAAAGATTATTTTAAAGGATTATAAAGATGGCAAAGTGATTCCTCCTCAGGAAGTCCCTCTTGAATCTGTGTGCCTGAAGCCAGACTCTAATGGACGTGAATGGTTTGCTAAATTTGGGCAAAACCCTCATCTTGATCAACTGATAGGTTGATTGACTGACTAAATAAACCTTCTGTGTCAAATTTGGATCAGTGCAGCTTTTAAGAAAGAAATCTCCATAAGTTGAACTTAGGACCTCAAATAATTCTTAACATCAGAGACAAAAATCGTTTGATATAACTGTAGACTATGTGGTGCCCAGATGGTTGGTATGTGGGCCTTTAAACGGTGGCCACTGTCCTCTCCCCAGTCCTCCAGGAGGAGCTGTGGGGCCCCAGGAAATTGTCAGGGTGGGGATGCTGGCCGTGTCTGCCTTGGTGACCCTTGGACCACAAGAGGACCCAGGGCCTGTGTGATGGGAAGGAGCCCTCCATGCAGAGAGGACCGGGGGTTGGGGAGCTGGCTGAGCCATGCAGGTCTGCCTTCCCACTGGGACAGCCCAAAATCCAGCTTCTCTATACAGTTTAGCTGATGGTAAAAATACAGAGTGAGGACCTCATATTGCAGCACTTTAAAGATGAGGACTTGAATGACGTGTCTCCAAATCCAATCAATGACCACAGGCTCTGAGCTCTGAGTGCCCTGACGTCAGCCGTGCTGCTGTAATTGGAACTGCAGAAGGCTCCCCGCCCACCCCCGCCCCAGGGCAAGGGCATGTGACAGTGCTGATGTCAACCACCCAGCCCAGATGCAGGGCGGAAATGCGGAGCCGCGAGGAAATGATGCTATAAAACGGGCAGGAATATTCTTTCTAAAATGCAAGTTCCTTGTGCTCCGTGAGAAAACCTTTCAGGGCTTCTCAGTGCTGTGAAGTACAAATAAACTTGAACTTCCCATCCCCCCCCCCATGAAGGCTGGAGCTCACCCCCCAGGCTTTGTCTATGCCCTGCCTTCTGCCTGCCCTTCCCTTCCCTTCTCCCCCTTTCACTCTGCAGACTCCCCCCGACACGTGGTCACACCTGCCTCAGATACCACACCCCCTGGGAAGCCCTCCTGATCCCTGGAGTCTCCCTGAGTGCCCTTCATGGCGCCATAACATAGAACCCCCATTTCCACTCTAGCCCCCACCTCCATGCCTGGCATGTCACTCATGCAATGAACACGCATGGCATGAATAAAGGTGAGACTGAAGCAGCACTCTCCTGTCCCTCTCTGACCCAAGAACTCAGCCACAGAGCTGAGCCACAGAGCAGTGGTTCATGCCTGATGAAGGCCAGCGATCGGACGTACAGACGCTCACACCTGCAGATTGTCTGGTGAGTCCCTTGATGCCTATCTCTTCCCTGACTGCCAATCTCATGAGGACGAGGACCATGTGCTTTGTTTGCCACTGAACCCTGAGCACCTGGCACAGCTCTGGGCTACAGAGAAGGCACGGGATGTGCAGAATGGGACACCCCGCCCCCACCCCCACCCCCGGTCCTGAAGTTCAGCTCGTCTTTTTGGTAGGAGCTAAGGGGAGCCACAGCCCTAGCAGAACAGGCCGGCAGAACCTGCTGCTCCTGGCTTGAAAGCATACTGGAAAAGTCACCTCATTGGCAGGCTCAAGCCCCGCTCCTCACTCAGACCCAGCTGAGGAGGCCTGCAGGTCTGGGACCTACGAGTGACGAATGTTGAGCTTCCAGGGAACCTCAGCCAGGAAGGGCTCTCCAGGTCACCCAGAGCTTTTTAGACACGGTGCAGGAAAAAAGACTGAGCCAGCCAAAGCAGCCTTCCTGTAGCAAATGTGGGTGCTACTATTTGGGGAATACACTTATCTAGTCATGTCACTGTACCTATTGTGGCCTTGACACTAGAGAAAGAATATTTTAGTTCAGCATATAGAAGTCTGGAGATGCAAGGGGGTCTTACCAGCCACAGAAAGGAATGAAGCACTGCCACATGCTCCAGCATGCTTAAACTGTGAAAATACACACCAAAGGTTACACACTGTATGACTCGAGTTATAGGAAATGTGCCGAAGAGACGAATCCCTGAAGACAGACAGGTGGCAGCCCGGGGGGGGGGGGGTTCAGGGGTGTAAGGGTAGATTCGGGGGGTTGGGGGACGCTGACTGATAAAGGGCATGGCATTTCTTTGGGGGTGATCAGAATGTTCTTAAATTGTTTGTGGTGATGGTTGTGCAAATTCCAAGTACCAACTAAAAACCATTGATTTGTACGTTTGAATGAGTGACTCGTGTGGCTTGGGCATTACATCTCAATAAAGCTGTATCAAGAGTAACAACCACACAAGGCTGGAGATGTTTGTCAGGGGAAAAAGGTATCAAGCTCTTCTTTATAGAACTCTTTTCTTTCCTTTGCTTTGTGCTCATTTAAAAAAAAAATCTACGTATTAGTCTTACAGAGTAGAGATCTACAGTTCCCTCAGAAGAATAACGAACGGCTGGCTTTTAAGTAGTTTTATGGAATTAGAATCTAAACAAAGCAAGCATTTCATTCTATTATTTAAAGACACTAGAAAAACAAAGTAATGCTGTCATACAACCCTTTTAATTGATTTGGGGTAAGCATTTGATCTGTTGACTCAGTGCTGAGGGTACGTAGATAAAAGAGCTGTTGGCAGCACAGACAGTCAGTCATTTAGGGCCCCAGAGCAGCTCTAGAAGGTTAAGTAGGAGCCAGGCCATTCTTCGGTGAACTTGCATGACACACCAATAAATTTTCAAGCTGCGTAAGAACCCAGATTGCAATCGCTGTTCCCGGTGCTAGTCCTTTTCCTACCCCCACCTCCTGCCAATCAGATTGCTACGACCTTAAACTCTGACCAAAGAAAATTCTATTACTTATCTGATGTGAATGCCATAAACAAGAATCAGGACTAGAGAGGGGGTCTGGAACGTCTGGGATGGCCAAGCTGTCTCAGAAGTGGAGTCCTTTGGCTCCTTGGCTCCATGCAAACTCCTTTGGTTGACACAATCACATCACCTCCCAAAGAGGCAGCGTCTTGGAGTAGCTGGGTCAAGGTTCATTCTTACCGCATGCGTAGGTAACTGTGAGGTATTTCTTCACTCCTGGCAGACAGGGGCTTCCGAAATGGTGATTGTTGACGGGGATTTTGCATCTCTGCTTCCCGTAGCACCTTCTGGACAGTACTTGTAAGGCGGAGTAAGACACACAGTCTGTAAGGGAAAATGAACTTTAGGGTTCATTCCACACTAGGTTGTCACCAGCTATGGCATCTCTGTAAGTACATATACAGACTTCAAATCAGATGAAGGTAGTTCCCCTGCTTATCCTTTATTCTCATTAAAGAACCCAACATGGCAAATGCCATAATATCAATCTTCTTTATAGCTGAATAATATTCCATTGTGTATATATACCACATTTTCTCTATCATGCTTAGTGAAATAAGCCAATCTCAAAAAAAAAAAAAAAACCAAAAAACAAAGACAGAATGTTCTCTTTGGTATGTGAATGCTAATTCACAATAAGGCATGGGGGAAATAGAAATCCATTGGATTAGACAAAGGGAATGAAGGGAAGAAAGGAGGAATGGGAATAAGAAAGACAGTAGAATGAATTGCACATAACTTTCCTAGGTTTATATATGAACACACGATCAGGGTAACTCCACATCATGTTCAACCCCAAGAATGGGATCCTAATTAGAATAAGTTATACTTCACGTATGTATAACGTGTCACAATACACTCTACTGTCATGTATGTCTAAACAGAAGAAATTTTTAAAATCATGTAATAAAAAATGGGCTGGTGTTTGAATGCTCTTTAATGAGCTGGGCAGCACCAGCTCTGTGGTCCTGTACTGGAAGGCCCTGAGCTTGGTTTAAGGCCCTCCATCTTGAAATTCTGATGCCCTTTTGAAAAGGGAACCTGAATTCCTGCTTTGCACTGGACTCTACAAATTATGTCATTGGTCCTGCATACGGAACAGATCAAACATGCAGAACACTGAATGGGGGTTCTTGGTTTGTTTACAACCTTTCCCACTCTTTGGAATATTTAATTTGTTTATTCTAAGACTCCCTCTCCCCTACATGGACATAAGCTCCGTACAGGAATACTTCTCTCTTGTTTATCATCTAACTGCTACTGCCTGGCCCACTGCAGGAGCCCAATAAATAACTGATGGATGAATAAATGAAATGAAATAATAAAGACAAAAATGTGTTTTCCAGCCCCCTGACACAATGCCATCATAGTTAGTATTAACTGATCACTGATTTCTCTGGTTTCCATGTGTCCCCCATACCTAGATCATGTGTTGGAAACTTAACCCTCAAAATCATCTGATAGTGGTGTGTGGAGGTGAGGCTCTTTAGCTCTTTAGGATTAAATGAAGTCATGAGGGGGCGATCCCCATAATGTCATTCATGCTTTTACAAGAAGAGGAAGAGAGACCCCAAGCCAGCAGGATCACTCTGTCTCACCATGTGAAACCCTCTGCATTAGAACCAGAAAGAAGACTCTTGCAGAATCTACTGCCATACTCTTGTACTTTTCAGCTTCTAAAACCTTAAACCAAATATACTTCTATTCTTTATAAATTACCCAGTCTCAGGTGTTTTATTATAGCAACAGAAAATGGACTATTATACCTATAGAGGATGATGTGCTGTGCTATGTACGGTTGGAAAAAAAAACCCAAGAAGACCCCTCCCTTGCCTTCTCAGGATGTGCAGTGGAGTTGGATAGACAAAACCCATATGTGAGACCAGTGTCTAATAGGTCACCAAGGGACACTGTGAATGAGTGTCAGCAAGGAGTGGTCCAGAAAAGAGGACCTTGAGGTCAAGAGCCAGAGGGATCACTGTGGACCAGAGAGGTCAAGACAGGCTTTGGGGTGGGGAGGGGCTTGGTCATGGAAGAAACAGCATGAGTTGGCAGAGGCAGGCCAGAGAGAAATGTATGAACAGAGGTGAGAGGACCAGGAGCAACCCAGGGGCTGGCTGTGAGCTGCAAAAGTGTGTGGGTGGGGCAGCCACAGCGAATGAAGCAAACTGGGGCAGGACCGAGACGGCCTCTGACTGCTCAGCGAACGCATTTGAACTTCCTTCTGCAAGCAACTGGTAGCCTAAAGAAATGACCTGACACTAATGACCACTGGGGTCAGGGGACAGGATGACCTGGAGAGAAATGGAAATAAAGACAGGGACAACAGTCTGGAATCCATTTTAAATATGCACAGTGGGGGCAGCTGAGGGTTTGAAGAGCAGGGAATGGAAAAGGAGGGAATTTTAGAGACCTTGCAAAATTCAACCTAGTTATAATGTTATGACAGCTGACATTGGGCCAGTACTGTTCTTAACAGCCTATGTTGATTGATTTAATGTTCCCAATGGCCCTATGAGAGAGGCTTTTGATCTCTCTCTCTCTCTCTCTCTCTCTCTCCCTCTCTCTCTCTCTCTCTCTCTCTCTCTCTCTCTCACACACACACACACACACACACACACATTTTAGGGATGAGAAAGTTCTAGAACCTCACACAGCTAGAGAGTAGTGGGACATGGACATGAAAATTGCCAAGGCTCCTGAGCCTACGCTACTGAGCTCTGAGCTCTGTCCTCCAGGTGACTGGTGGAGCGCAGGTGAGGGAGCTCTCCAGATAAGGGCAGATCTTGAGCTGTGGGACTGGGACGCTGTGGTGCTGCTGACCATGATCGAGGAAGCCGTAGGAATGGGCAGTTTGCAAACAAGAAATACCGTCCTGCATTCAAGATGGAAAGGGGCTTTCAAGAGGATGTGCAGATGTGGAGACGGCGAGGACAGGCTCAGGCTGGGGAGCCCAGGGGCTGGTGGTCAGGGGAACAGAAGCAAGAGTCGTGTGTGTGTCTGCTCACATCTTACAGGACAATCTCCTCTATCCTCCTCTCTAACAACCCCCCTGCCCTCCCCTACCCAGGCCTGTCTCCAGCCTGGTCTCTCTCCTTCTGGAAAGGGCCTGCTGTGCCCCTTGCCTCTGCTGCACCTCCCCACCCCTCAGTGTCCTCTGTCCCACCCATGCCCTGAAACTGATCCCTTTCCGAGGATCACAGGAACCAACAATTGTCACATCCAAGAGGTGGAAGCCAATCCCAGTTTCTCTCTGTCTCTGGAACTTCTGGTGCCTGAGCTCTTGTTGGAGGATTTCTTCCCAACCTTGGTGCCCTGGTGCCCTTTACCCCAGTTTGTCTCCAATTCCTCTACGCAGAGCCTCTGCAGTGCTGCCACCCAAAGCAAGCTCACTCCCTGATCTGGGCTCTCTCTCCCATGTCCTCCATCTGGGCTGCAATTCTGTCCCTGTTGCTGCCAAACCACTGGATTGCAGCTCTCGGTTGGGGCCCATCTTCAGAAGACCTTGAGCAATGATTGCCCAGACTGCACTTGCGGAACGTCTCCCTCTGGTGTGTGGACCAAATGTACCCTCTCGCCACATGACCCCGCCAACATCCAATCAGCACCACCCTCCCCTGCCTGCTCTCCAGGTTACCTTCTCAGATTCCTGCTGCCTGTCTGTCTCTGTGGCTGGTAGAAACACTTTCACAGGAGCCTCAATGGAAAGCTCTGCTCCCCCCTGCTCCTCCTCACACCCTCCCATCTGATGCAGGGCATGAGGAGCCAGGAGGATTAGAGAGAAGAAAGTGAAACGGAAGAGGATACCTGATGAAGGGAGGGGAGGTGCAGGAGGGGAGGTGTGGCTGCAGTTTCTGAAAGCCAGGGCCCAGGGGCAGCGGGGCAGGAGGTGGACAGTCAGGCCAACAGAGAGCCAGCGGGTGGGGGGAAGAAGCGTGCCCTGGATGTGCTCATCTGGTGCTTTCAGAATGGGCCACGGAAAACGTGGGTCAGGCTCTGGGAGGGCCCGGGAGGGAGCAGCAATACCCATAAGTGTGTGGAGTGAACAAATGACCCTGGACGAACGTGGACGGTTTGTCATGATCCAACCCTCACTGTGGGTGAGTGGGCATGGAATGGCACTGGAGATGGCAGGGGATGTGAGTTCCTCCGGTGGGGCTGGCTGTGCGTACACAGAGGCACAGCTGTGGGTGGTGATGGGTGAAGTCTTACAGAAACCACGGTGTTGGCACAGAAGCCAGGTGGGGTTGTGCTGTGGCTGGAGGTGTCCCCCAGAGTCTGTGTGCTGTATACTCACTCCCCAAATTCATATGTCCATGGTACATGGAGGTGGGGCCTTGGGAGGTGATAGGATTAGGTGAGGTCATCATGGTGGGGCCCCCATGATGACATTAATGGCTTTATAGGAAGAGGCAGATAGACCTGAGCTAGCACGATTGCTCTGTCTTGTCCCGATGCCCTTCACTGTGTTATGACACAGCAAGAAGACCCTCACCAGATGCCATGTCCTTGGACTTCCTGACCTCCAGAATGGTAAGCTAAATTCTTTGTAAATTAGCCAGTCTGTGGTATTTTGTTATAGTAACAGAAAACAACCTGAAGCTAAAATCACAAATCAATAAATATATCTGCTGAGAAAAAAAGGGGGTCAGGAAAAAAAGCAAGTAATGGAGGGATTCAGGGCGCAGGTAACCTCAATGGCTGATCCACAGAGAGGTTAATGAATGTGATCAAACGGGCCAGTACAGACGCTCAATCAATAAATGGCGGCTCCTTTGCCAGGGATGCTGGCATCAACTCTATTCCAAGGAGCCCCAGCATTCTCAGGAAGCAGCTTGGGGACTACACAGGGTAAGTAAAGGGAAGGAGCACGTTTCATGGACGCTCCACTTTCATCTCTGGGTCAGCTGAAGAGCTGTCAAAGAGTCTGGTCCAAAAGAAATCTCTATGGCTAACCACTAAAATCTCCAGTGGCTAAACACTGTAACCATTGGGAAGACAACGACCTTTAGGAAAAGACGATCAAATATATGTATTTGGCCCTCTGTATCTCCAAGTTTCACATCCAAACAACCACACGTAGAAAATATTTCTTAAATTCCTGAAACTTCCAAAAAGCAAAGCTTGAGTTTGCCGCACTCTGAGTACTATGCTGAATCCACAGGAATGAAGTGGTGCACATTAGGCAGCAGAAGTAACCTTCAGATGATCTGAAGTTACAGAGGACATGCATAGTCGGTATGCAAATACTACAGCATTTCATTTAATGGTCCGAAGGGTCCTGAGCCATCCCCAGCAGATTCTGAGAGATAACTGTATACACA